GTCTGTTGTGGTCTCTGTAGGTCTATAGACTGTCTGTTGTGGTCTCTGCAGGTCTACATATTGTCTGTTGTGGTCTCTGCAGGTCTACAGACTGACATGTGTTATGTTCTCTGCAGGTCTACGAACCTTCCGGTTGGTAACATCCTGTAATTTCACCACTCTAAAGGAGAAGCAGCTGAAGGAGATCCAGGCTCCAACCACCAACCTTTACTTGCCAATTCTGTACCTTCTGGCCTTTTGTGTGGGCTTACCTTTCAACCTGTTGGCTCTCTGGATTCTGGTGTTCCGGACCAAACATCTGCCATCAACTGTGCTGCTCATTAACCTGACATTGGTCGACTGCCTGCTGCTTACGGTTCTGCCATTTCGTATTGTCTACCACTTTCGAGGAAACCACTGGGAGCTGGGGGAGCCTTTCTGCCGAGTAGTCATAGCCATGTTTTACGGGAACATGTACGGCTCAGTCTGGTGTTTGGCCTTGGTGGCTTTGGACCGGTATCTGGCTTTGGTTCATCCGTTTAAAGCCAGGACTCTGCGCAGTCGGCGAGTTTCTTTGTATGTGACTGGAATGGTATGGATAGTAATGCTGGGTGCCATGTTGCCCCTGTTGATGTCCCGGCAGACCTACACGCTCGATGAACCAAATATCACTACCTGCCATGACGCACTGCCTGAAGACGAACAGGATTACTTGTTCCTACCATACTTCAGCACTCTGTTTGTCTTCTGCTTCCTGCTGCCCTTTACCATTGTGGTGTTTTGCCACAGTGCTGTGTTGCGCACCCTGCTGGTTGAAGGGAAGCATTATGGTCACGCCATTGGGGTGACAGTGCTGGTGTTGGTCATCTTCATCGTGTGCCTGCTGCCCAGTAATCTCCTCCTCCTCCTAACCTACGCCGACAGCTCGCTGGACGGTGATGGCGAGGACCTCTACGTCCCCTACATGATGAGCTTAGCAGTTAGCACCTTTAACAGCTGCATCGATCCCTTCATCTTCTACTTCGTGTCCACGGAGTTCAGGCAAAAGGCCAGGAGCGTTTTGTGTTGCAGCAGCAACCGAGAAAACAAACCTTTTTCTCAAGGGAACAGGACTTCGTCATCAAGCAATAGGTCAAAAGTCGCGCTGCTGTCTGTGACCAGTCAACGAGGGAGGTCTGAGATGATGCTTGCATGTCAACAGGACAAAGGAATGTCAACTAACTGCTGACAAGTCTTTCCACAAGTCAGGGTTGGTTCTGATTTAATCAGCCGATGCCAGAAGTTTCATACTTGTTCTAATGAGTAACAACCTAATTTAAATTTCTTGAACCTGTACAAGAAACTTAAAAATATTTTTGTGACAGGTTAAGATAATTTCTTCATTTAAAGTTTCAGCTGATTTTATTATCCTTTGGCTGTGAATCAAGAATCCTGCTTCTGATCAAAGGTTAAATTTCAGAGATTTTGACTAAGTTATATATAATTACCCTCTCACATGGTTTCCACAGAATTTTGCAACTCTCTGATGTCTTATTTCAATGAAAAGATTCTTTCAATTCATAAACACCTTGGACCAAATACCGCCCCCAGCATCTATGTTGAACTCTCCCCTCCCTTCCCTTCTCTGTCTTCTCCCTCCCCTCTGCTGATGACATTGCTGACATTATCAGCAAGTCCAAGTCCTCATCCTGTCAACTTGATCCATTTCCCACAGTTCATGTTAAATCCTGTCTCCCGTCTCTGCTCCTCATCATCACTAACATCATCCACTCCTCCCTAACCTCTGGCATTGTTCCCACAGCTTTCAAATCTGCTGCCATCACCCCCATAATCAAGAAACCAGGTCTTGACTTTACCAACTTCAGTAATCTTCGTCCAATCTCTAATCTGCCCTTTATTTCCAAAGTTCTTGAAAAAGCCGTTGCTAGTCAACTTCACGCTCACCTATCCAACAATAACATTTATGAAGAGTTTCAATCTGGTTTTCGCCCCCACCATAGCACCGAAACAGCTCTAATAAAAATAACTAATGACCTCCTACTTGCTGCTGACTCTGCTCTTCTGTCTATCCTCATTTTACTGGATCTAAGTTCTGCCTTCGACACCATCTGTCATTCTATCCTCCTCAACAGACTAACCTCCATTGGCATCTCAGGTACTCCGTTAGACTGGTTCAAATCATATCTCTCTGACCGCACTCAATTCATTCAGCTCAAATCCTTTCGTTCCCAGTCTTCCCCCGTCTCCACGGGTGTCCCCCAAGGCTCTGTCCTCGGACCCCTCCTCTTCATCATTTACCTCCTTCCTCTAGGTCACATCTTCCGTAAATTTGGTGTCCATTTTCACTGTTATGCTGATGACACACAGCTCTACCTGTCAACAAAACCAAACTCCACCCACCCACCCTCCATCCTCACCGACTGTCTCAATGAGCTAAATCACTGGTTTTCTAACAATTTTCTACAACTAAACAGTGACAAAACAGAAATCATTCTTGTTGGTACCAAAAACTCTCTTTCAAAATCAGAAAATCTTCTCATCATCCTTAACAACTCTCTGCTATCCCCCTCGCCTCAGGTCAAGAGTCTTGGTGTCATCCTCGACACCACTCTCTCCTTCACTTCACACATCAACAACGTCACTCGGTCTGCCTATTTCCATCTCCGAAATATTAACCGTCTCCGCCCTTCTCTCACACCCCGCTCCACAGCCATCCTTGTTCACAGTCTTGTGACTTCTCGGATTGACTACTGCAACTCCCTTCTTTATGGCCTCCCCAACAAATCTCTCCAGAAGCTGCAATTGGTCCAGAACTCAGCTGCCCGTGTCATCACTCAAACCTCCTCCTATAACCACATCACTCCTGTCCTGCAGCAGCTCCACTGGCTCCCGGTTAAATCACGCATCGTCTTCAAAATTCTTCTTCTCACTTTCAAAGCTATCCACAACCTTGCCCCTCCGTACCTATCTGACATCCTACACATCTCCATCCCCTCTCGCTCTCTCAGATCCTCCTCTTCACTACACCTCCATGTACCCTCTGCCCGCCTCTCCACCATGGGGAGCAGGGCCTTCACCTGCTCTGCCCCTCATCTCTGGAACTCTACCCCCTGACTTAAGAAACACCACCTCTCTTTCTATACTCAAGACTGCTCTGAAAACACATCTCTTTAGACTCGCTTATCCTTAACTTTGCTGTATGTATTTTATATTCTTTATGCATTTTATATTCTGTATGTATTTTATATTCTTTATGTATTTTATATTCTTTATGTAATTTATTCCTGTTGATCTTTGTTCTTACTGTAAAGTGTCCTTGGGTGTCATGAAAGGCGCTTTTTAAATAAAATTATTATTATTATTATAATTAAAACAAGAATAAGTAAAATCACACAACTGGATGAATAAAAGTGTCTATTTCAAAACACTTGGTGACAAAAGTTTTTTGTATTTTTGGTGGAGAATCTCTTAAAAAGGACTCGTATCACTGATCTGCAGGAAGTCCCTCCCTTCCTCTAATGGAAACAGAAAACTGCTGAAGTGATTTCCTGTTCGTCACTTATCATATTTCCCAGATTTTCCTATTCTTCACTTTAACTGATAACTGAACTTAAAATAATAATCATTCAAAGCTCATTCTTTCTGTTGCTTTTTTTTTTTTCAGGATTATATTTTATTCTGTAAATTTAATGAACAAGAAAACGACCATCATTCACCACCTTGTGAAATATAAAAACTTTTATGTAGCTCCATCTTCTGCTTGTTCTGGAGTTTGATTGCGGGGTCAGCAGCTTGAGACCGAGTAAGGGTCTCTCCTCCCAGGATGACCCTGAAAACTCCTTTAAGGAGACTGACTTGATGCTTGAACCACCTCAACTCAACTCATTTTTATGTCGGTCCAAAAGACTCCCTTTCCATATTTGGTAACGAGCAGCTTCCCTTGACATGCCACTTCAGGAAGAGCAGCGGCTCTCCTCCACGCTTCTCCCATACAACTTCTTATCTGCAAGAGAGAAAACCTTTCGACCGCCTGTAACTGAGATCTCATTTTTTTGGTCACTACCCAAAGTTCATGACCATAGGTGAGGGTAGGAACACAGACTGACTGGTAGACCGAGCTTCTTCTTGCAGCCCAGCTCCCTCTTCACCACAATGGACTGGCACAAATTCCACAATACTTCGGAAGCTGCACCCATCTCTTTGTAGATTTGACACCCCATTCTTCCCTCACTGGTGAACAGAATACTTAAACTTCTACACTAGAGGTAGAACCTCACTCCCAACCCAAAGAAGACAGACCACCCTTTTCTGACTGGAGACCACGGCCTCAGATTTGGAGGTGCTGATCCTCACTCCAGCTGCTTCACACTCTGCTGCGAAACGCACAGTGAGAGCTGGAGATCACAGCACCATGACATCAACAGGACCACATCATCCACGAAGAGTCAAAACCCTGAGGTCACAGAACTGGACTTCCTCCAGACCCTGGCTACATCGAGAAATTGTCCATAAAAGTTATGAACAGAATCGATAACAGGCAGCCCCGGAAGAATCCAAGTTATTTCCCTAGAAGTTTGAGAGCGGTGCCCCTTCAAAATAAAATTCATAACGAGGTTTTACAATAATTAACTCTATCCACAGTTGAGTATCTTGTTTAGATGGAAAGGTGCTATATAAGTACAGTCCGTTTACAACTCCCACCCTGAAAGGGGTCTGACTTATTGCTGGATGTATAAATGTTATGTAGTTCTTAAACATTTATGAATAGATCTGTTAAAATCGGGCTTTAAGCTCCTAAATCAACGTTTTTGTTACGCTTGCTGAAAACACGAGCAGGTTGAGTTTCTCTGTAAATGCTCCGGGCACGCAGAATGATCAGATTATTTATTGTTGCTGCGTGTTTGCTCAGTTGTGGTGCCGACGTTGGTGTTTGTTTAAGTCAAAGGGGTGCAGTTCAGAACGCAGGAGGCGCACACGACATTCCTCCTGCCCTCAGTGTAGCAATGCTTTTTCTATAAATTCATTGATGAAGAGGAAAGAATTTTATCCAGCTAGTTTGGTAAAACGTATTGTTTTTATGTTTTACATTGTTGCAGATAATTATACCTGCAAGTTAGATTATCATGGTAAATCACATAACCATAAAGAGCAACGTGATCAAGGCTTATAGCTTTGTACGTGTATCGTACTTATTTTGTTTTTATTTCATGTTGTACAATGACATTCTGGGCTAATAAACAGTTGTCATAGTAATTATAATCTCAAAATTGCTTGAAAATAATAAATGAAAATGAATCGTGGTATAAAAACTGAAATATTTCTACATCGTAACCATGTCTAGTTCATAACTTTACAAAAGCAGAACAAGACGGTGAAGTAAAGACGGAACAGGATGAAGCAGCTGCTGGACTCGGATCGGAACACGTCAACAATGAGCAGAATAAACTACAGACACGAAGAAAGTCTTATGAAGTTGATTTTTTTTTGCTTAATGATAAATATAAAAAAAAAACACTTTGGCATCTCAACTACATGGGGATATTGCACCGAAATATTTACACGTCTGAAAATTGAAAAGACTCAAAACATCATGGTCATCATCATCTTCATCGACCGCTCTCAGGAAATTGATCTGGTTCAACAGAAAGGTCTTATCTAAAAACATGACAAGACGACGCGTTTCCTCCACATGATCCAATTCATCACCTTGTATCGTCTGCCTGGAACTGTGGAAACATATTTGGCTTCAGACATGACTCTGAAGACTCCTCCTGTTGCCATGGAAACATAGGGGTAATTAAATTTGGACACCAGGAGGACCAGGTCAGTTTAGAGCGCAGAACCCAAGCTTTCAACCATAATCAGCAGAACCTGACCGGAGTCAAAGTTCTAGAGGATTCTTAGTTCGATATCCTGTTGGATCTGCTGGTTCTGGTTAGTATTTCATCTTGTAGAGAATCCTGATGAGTTGGAGAATAAACGAGCGCCCAGTGAAAGACAGGAACCATCAAGTTGCCATGGGTACAAGTCTTATCGTGGAGCCGTGGCGTCCAGGTAGTACACGTTGACCAGGTGGCGGTTCAAGTGGCGCCGGTACTGCATCTCCAGAGAGAACGTGCGGTCACAGAAAATGCACGTGTGACTCTTTAGCTCTGTTGGTGTCGGGATCTCGTCGGTGGGCGTTTCAGGGTCGTTGGCCATTTTAGCCGGGCCAACACCGTTGAGGCCAGAGTCATCGCTGCCTTCTGAGGCAACGTCGCTGATGTCACTTCCTCCTTCGTGGCTGCTGTGGATACCCTCATCATCTTCGGGCTCTGTCGGTTTGCTGCGCTGGCCTGGAAGCACTAGAGGAGGTGGCAGTGAGGGTTTGATGAAGGTTGGGCTGTGCTGGACTTTGGACGATGAGTCGGGCTCAGAACTGTTGGTCTGTTCAGGAAGACTGGGTTCAGGTTCGGGCGGAGTCACTTTATCTGTGGAGGAAACTGTTTGAGCAGGACTGGTTCCAGTTGACTTGGCAGTGTGTGGATCAGAACTTTCCAGGGGCTCTAAGGAACCACTGACGACAGAAGTTGTCTGGTCTTTCTTTGAACCTACAGCTTGAGGCAGGCCTGAGGCTTTCCTGCTAGAGGTTCTGGTCTTGTGCTGCTTGACAGGCGATGTTCTTGTTGGACCGGACTCGTGGATGTTGTCAGTGTTATCAACTGAAGGTTTGGACTGCAGTTTCTCAGTGGCTGGAGCTTTCAGACGCCTGGTCTTGGATAATGTTTGGGAAAGATCCAAAGCCTCTGTTCTTTTTCTCTTTGCAGGTTTTTCTTTGACCTCCTTTTCTGTTTTGTCAGAACTGTTGGAAGCTTCTTTGGCAGGTCCAGGAGTCTTCTTAGACCTCTTAGACCCAGACTTCCTGGACTTACTGAGGGTTTTGTTATGATTCTTCTGAGCTGGTTTCGGTTCAGGTGTGAGCTTTAGTTTCTTCATAGAGTTTGTTTCTTCCGGTGGCTGCGGGTCAGAACTTTCCTTCTCTGCTTGGCCTTTAAGGGATTTGGGTTCCTCTGTTTGGTCCTGGACGTTTGTTTTCTCAGCTGGAAGCCTCTTGGCTCGTTTCTTTGCCTTGCTGCCAATGTTTCCAACTTTTGTCTGGACTTCTGTAAAGTTTTGGTTCTCTGTGGGACGCTCTTTGACCTTCTTCTGCCTCGTTGTGACCTTTTTCTCAGCCTCTTTGACCTTTGGTGGTTTCTCCTTCTCAGATGTGATGCTTGGTGTCTTCGCAGCCCTGTATGGAGTATTGCTCTGTGACGTTTGGTCAACGCTGCTCTTCCTGACTGACAAATTGATGGGGCTTGAGTCGTCATCCTCATCCTCCTCTTCATCCATGTCCTCCCGGGTACTGGATTGGTTATCCAACTTGTTTCTTTTGGAGTCAGAGTATTCGTCCGCACCATCAGGACTGGGTTTCTTAATACGCAGCTTGACTTTGGACACATCCAGGTCCACGTTGCAGCCGGAGTGTCGGGACTTGATGTGGTACTGCAGGTTGCACTTCTTGGAGGCGGCGTACTTGCAGAGCGGACAGAGGAACTGCCGAGGGTTCAGGTGGAGCTCCACATGCTTCTTGAAGTTGCTGCGGTCCGCGGTCTTGTACTCACAGAACGGACAGGAAAGAGGTTTGGGCCCATTGTGAACCTGGCGGGCGTGGCGCGTCACCTCGTGCTGATTGGCTGCCAGGTAGCTACAGCTGTCACACTTGAAAGGCCGCTCACCTGCAGACAAGAAGGAGGCAGCTGAGTCGAATGCTTCTCCACACATCTTCAGATTAAAGAAATGTTTATTGATCAGAATTTATTTTTACCGTTTTTTATTTATTTATTGATTTACTGATCAGCTAAATTACTGAGGTGCGGGAAAGACCCAGTAAACCCTAAAGAACAGTGATTGGTGAACTGGAAACGTCTGATCCATGTTTGTGAGATATTTAACCAACACCCCCCCAGGAGAGTTTTTTGCAAGTTCAAGGCTTCCATTGCAAGTTCCACTTGATCGTTGGTGCCTGTTGACCTGGCAGTGGATAAAATTCACTCTAAGATGCTGATTTATATAAATAAATTGGTATTGAAGTTTGTTAGCAACTTTGTAGTTTCAAGATGTTTATACTTACATAACCAGCTTATTCGCATTGTTTTATATTTTTCTCTACAATGTATTTGTTGGATTATACAGGATACATGTTACATTAAAAGGTGGAAGAAGTTTTGAAATAATTTATCATGGCTTAATGTTTTTACATCACAAAAATCTGGCATTTTAACAGGGGGGAGGACACTTTATACATCCCCTTTTTTAACTGGACATTCTTTGTGAACAAAGTAATTAATTTGTTAAACATGCACAGGAACCGCTGAGAACTGGTTATTTTTTTATTTTTTTTGGTTAAATCCGTCTACTTCTAGACACAACATGACAGGACAGAAACCAACAGAACAGAACCCAGAGACATGAGATATTACCGTGTTAGTCCAACAGGTCAGCTTCAGTGAGAGCAGAACAGAACAGAGAGGATCTCAGTTAGTCAGAGAAACAGCAGCTAACATAAAAAACACACTCAATCCCACGACAAACACACCAACACAGCTGAGTTCTGACCCAGTCTATGGGGTCCAAACCATAACCTCGTGTTTCAGCATGTAACTACCCAGATAACGGAGTTAGAGAGCTCCTACATCAAATCTGAAAAGACGAACAAAGGAAAATGTTTCCAACATACTATGTGTGGTCAGCAGGTACCTAATTTGTCTAACTTAAACAAGAATTAGTGTCTTAACTGACATGACGTGAACGGTAAGATTCTGCCCACGCGGAAATGTAACCCAGGGTGAGCTAACCTCCAACAAACAACATGCAGTGTAGCTGTAAGGATGGAGGTAGTGAAACTCGCAGCGTTACCTGAGGCATTTCTGCCTCATCAGCCAACATTAAGGCAAAGACATACAAAAAAATGTTTTAATATACTAATAACATAAAATACTTACTGCAGTTTTCATGCCCCAGAATGACACAAAGCAAGAATGTAATATTTTGCATTACACAACTAATTAGATACTTTGTGCTTTGTCAGTTTAGTTTTAACTGATCGTAGCAAACAAAGACTAAACTTGTGCAACTAGAAGTTGCAACATATACCTACATACAAAACACACATGGGGTGCACCGATTGCAGTTTTCTGGCCGATCAGTGAGCACCGATTTCTAAAAAGTCTGACCGCTCGATTCAGATTTTGGCCGATACCGACTTTGTTTTATAAGCGACACTGTGCACCTTCAATTTTCTAATATTATTTTACTTAAAAACATACCCTTGAAGAATATCCTAGAAACAATACAAACTTGTTTTAACTGCCTATGAGGTAGTGCTCTGAAATATAAATTAAGTTCAGATAATTGTTAAAAAAAAAAAAAAATCTGTAAAATAAGTTTCTCATGTAAGTATCCACCGATTTCCCAAAATTAAGGAAATTGGGGCCTACACACAAAACAAACCACAACTAGCTTTAAGCATTAACCTCCAATTTAACCATTAATCATACGATGTAGTTATGACCAGAAATGGAGGATTTACCTGCAGTTACCTTTGTACAGACCAACATGTGGTACTTCCTGTTTATTCAGCTGCTCGAGGTCGGCCGCCGGCCTTTATCATCTTTTACATTTTTCCAGACTTCGTTTAGGTTTTGGAAATGGAATAAACCGTATTCCACCCTCTAAACGCTCAGGGTAACGTGTGTCTGAATGACATGTTCTCCACTGACAACGTTTAATTTTTTTTTCTGATGACTTTTCATGAAATCCCTCTGACGGCAAACCCCGACCATGTTGTCACAGGAAAAGGGGGTGCTGCTCTTGCAGGTAAGGGTCATTTCACTTCAGGACAAATCGCGATCACCTACTGGTCAGTTGCCAACAAGACCACTAGATTAATTGACAGATGGTGTCATGTTAATTGGCCAAAAGTGAATGTCTAATTTAGAAAAGAGTCAGTATCTAAATTAGGTAAGATTTAGAGTTTAAATGAACCAAGCAGCTATGCTAAACATAAAAAATAAACAAAAAGCTCTGAAAGGTACCGTCAACACTTCTGTCTAAAAGAGGTGCCAGGTGGAGCGATGCCACCAACACCAACTGGTCTTATGGTCTCGCCTGGTTTCAACTAGCTTGTTTGATCCCAATAACCAAGTTAAAAAAGAAACATAATAAATCTGACAATGAAAACGTGAAGATTTTTCTTATGTTTATTTTTAAACCCTGTTCAGGTGTAACCCCACATTTCTAAATGGTGGCGCCACCAGTGACCTTGAACACGCCTGTGGTTTTGGGTGATCATAAACCACAGAAGAAGAAAGAGCTCAGACGTGAAACAGAAACGATCAACGGGTCTAAAAATTATTGTTGATGGATCGACACACAGACAACACCGGCTCCTTGTGTTAGCAAACATGACGTACACACATCAAATCCTGAGGTGTTGCAGGTAAACATGACACTGTCACACCTGTCTCACACGCTCACCTGAGTGAGTCCTCATGTGTCGGGTCAGGTGAGTCTTCTGAGAGCTCGAGTAGTCACAGTACAGGCACTGGAAGGGACGCACACCTGTCCAAAACAAATATGGCCATACGTCACTGGAAACACCTGAGCACTCAAAACAGATGTGGACGTCATGGGGATGTGTTGATGCACACACCTGTGTGCGTGCGAATGTGTTGGATGTAGTTGCTTTTGCGGTCGGAGAAGTAGGAACACTGGCTGCAGGTGTGCAGTTTGCTGGGGAAGTGATTCCTCAGGTGTTTCCTCCAATGATACTGGCTGACGGTGGTGTATGCACAGAGTGTGCACTTAAAAACCCTGCAGGTACCACATACGGGTAAACACTCACAGACGAACAGGTGTGCAGCCAAACAGGTTTGCCTTACCTGTGGTTGTCGCCCTCCTTGCTGTGGTGTTTCAGGTGAGCGATGTAGTGATCGTAGCGATTGGTGTTGTAGCCGCAGCGCTCACACCTGATCAGCCCTTTACTGTCTCCCGTTGTTGCTGCCTCGCCGCTGCCCTCACCTGTCTGAGCCTGGGCCTCAGGTGTTTCTGTCTCCTTACCCTTGCTCTTGCTCCGCCCCTCCACTTGGTTGACCACCAGCATCTTGCTGACACTGTGCGTGCTCAGGTGATCCACGAACTCCTGCTCGTTCTGCGCCTGGAAGTGGCACGGTTTGCAACAGAACGGCTTCTTCCTCTGCACACCATCTGGGGCAGCGAGGGGCCCATCTTTACGTTTGGTGCTCGGCTCCGGTGTCTTGTTGCAGGTGGAGGCACAGGGCTTAGAGGGAGGAGGTTGGCCTTCAGCTGTGCGTCCTTGTCCATCGTCTTTGTGGTCTCCACAGGTGGCGAGCTCGGTTGCTGGGTTCGGAGACTCTGGATACTCGACGATGCAGACCTCCTGGCGGTTCTGGTTGTCATAGCTGTACCTGCACAGACACTCAGGTGAGCTAACGAGACACTCAGATGAGTTAATGGCAGGTAATGCACTTAAGAGTGCAAAGTGATCGACTGACCTGATGACATTCTCGTCCTCGCTGTCTGAATAGCTGCATCCTACAGTTTTCAGCTCCACCATTTCCTTCTCATCTGCCACACTGCTGTCTCCGCCGCCGCTCTCCGCCACCGCAGCCACGTTGGCCAGCATCACCAGCTGAGGGGCGGGCATCATATCCCTGGGCATGTCACTGAGACCCTGAGCCTCTGCCAGGGAAACACCGACAGGAAACACCCCGACCGAGAGAACGGTCTGAGCCGCCATGTTGAGCTGAAACAGGAAACCGTGAGACCAAACAGAATCAGACAGTGGCGGCGACTGCTTTCCTCACACCTGAATGGCAAAAATAAATTACAGCTCTGCAACCTCTACAATAATCTGCAGCTAATAAAACAGTTCTGAGTTCCATAACCCTATACATATATTTTTAAAACCCAACAGAACCGGAGGCATTTTACAGCTGATGTGATTTAATTAACATTTCAAAGTCCCTTTCGCTGATGTGATCTAATGACCTAAAAATCTAATTAAACACATCTTAAATCTAGATTAAACTAGCTCAACTGATGTTTAAATCAATTAAACTTGTTTAATTCAAGCTAATATAAAACATTTTAAAACCTCACATTACTTTAGACCAATTTAAACTTGTTTTAAACAAACTAAAACACGCTTGAACCGATGTCAACTCACGTTGAACAGATAAAACTCACTTAAATCCTTATTAAAATTATTTTCAAACAGCTTAAAATTGATTCAAAACAATGTTGATTCATTTAAAAACATCCACTAAAGCCCATAAAAGCTCATCAAACTCATTAACACAGACTTAAAGTAATTTAAAACCTATTCAAACCTGTTTAACTCGTTTGAACCAAGGTTACTTAATCTTAAAACAGCTTTAAACTTGTTCAAACATTAAACCCTCATCAAACTCGTTTGATACCAATTGAGACTGTAGTTTAAACCTTGTTCAAACCCATTTAAAAACTCCTGATTCTCATTTTATATCCATGTAAAGTCGTTTTGAACCGGATCTGAAGAGGCTCCAGGCGCCCGAGTTTCACCGTGAAACAACGCGCACCCGCGGCTGAGATTTCAGCCCAGTTCAGCCTCTCGAGAGTTTCTGCGAACTTATTTCGCGAACCGAACTTCTTGGTGCAGTTTTGCGGGAGAAAACCCGCCGTGTTCAGACTGGATCTCTCCCTGGCTCTGGGATCTGGTCTCGGAGTGTTAGCCATGGTCCTGATCAGCCCCGGACAGCGCCTTCTTCTCCACCTCGCCGCCTCCATTTTATCCAAACCGCCTGTAACTTTCCAGCCGCTTCGCCCGAAAAAAACCACGCACGAACACGCTCTGCGACCCGCAGAGCTCCCGCACAGACCCGCACACTCTCCGGACCCTCACCTCCGAACTTTTCGACACTTTCTTTAAGTTTTTATGCCTCTGGGGCCTTTTTCTTCGACGGAAAGCAAAGGGAGAAAACTACACAGAAGTTTCCGCACATTCCTCCACAGTGACGTACAAACATGACGTCAGCACGTAGCATTACGTTTTTGTAGTTTTTCATAAAAAGAACTACAAAAATTATGACTCACCGAGTGAAATGAACAAGATGGCGGATAGACAGCAGTCCGATCAACAGCTGTATCCCGGTACGGTTCAGAACAGAGAGAGTGGCGACACTCCCATAGACTCCCATAGAAAGAATGGAATGCGGAAGTCACGTGGGTCATGCAGCGGCAAATAGTTCCAAACAGCAGCGGGTTCAGCATTGAACGTAGTTCATTCTCCGTGTTTTTCCGGTAAGTTGATGCAAATGCGACACTTTTTCTCCATTGTGAAGCGTTATCTGACTGTTCTGTACCACAATTTATCAACATTAATACTTCGTGTCGCCAGTTTTAGTTAATGAAACGTGTTAAATTACTAGTTGTTTTAACTGCAGCTGCTCTGCAACATGACGGTTTAAACGGGTCTATTTCTAATTCAGCGTTTTAAAATATCTATTACTGCTTAAATTTTGAAAGGTGGTCTTTTTTAAATTTATGGTAATTCCAGTTACTGAACTCAACTAGAAAATATTTGGACTTTTTCTTCTGAGAGATTCATTCAACCTTTATTTCTACAGGTAAATCCCATTGAGCCTCGAGGACTCATTTACAAGAGAGACCTGATTTTACAAAGAATGATGACAACATAACAACAAGATTTACGTAATTTAGTTAAAGTTATAATAATAATAATAATGTCAGCACTATGTTTCCATATAATGGCGAAATTAGTCTCTGCATTTAACCCATCCACCACCAGGTGGTGCAGTGGGCAGCTATTGAGGGCGCCCGGGGGACATTTTGGGGATGAGACGTGCTGCCCAGAGACGCCACGTGATGTGTAGTGACTGGGGATCGAACCTGGGACTTTCGGGTCCCAAGACGGCTGCCCTGCCTCTACACCATCTCGGCCCCCCTTATAGATCATTTGTCAAAGACTGCAGCATAAATTGTGACATTATCATTAAAGAAAAACGTGATTGTGGAGATGAGTCAATTTTTTTCATGTTTTCCAGGTAAACCAGAGGAGAATGACTTCATGAACTGAATGTTGCATTCAAAGTATCACAAAGGTACAAGATCTCATTTTCTGTCTTCCCAAATCAATAACAGCTGAATCAAGATGTTTGAATAAAATTACTTTAACACCATAACCTTCACAAAGTTGGTATTTACTGCAGGACTGTTCATTTACAGTCATTTTATATTAATAGTTTAGCGTTTGGTAATCATGGGTCAAGTTGAGATGAGACTCTTTCAAGACAGAACAAGAAATAAGAATTATTACCAAGATTATATCAGCATCAATAAACTGTAGGACAGTAACAAAACAACTTATTAAACTATCACAGGTACATTGAGATGGAGCTGGAAGTTATTCTTCATGCCAGTTGTCTTCAGCTGATCTTTTGTAAAAATATGTCAATTTATTTTCCATTGTTAACATTTTTCTTCGCAGGACTGTGTTAATTTTCTTGTCTGTGAGTTTCTTCTGTCCTGCTTATGTATTTTTTGTGTTCTAATTGTTCCTCAGCTTTTTCATCTCTGTTCCCTGACTGCCTGTTGATCCATCCTCCTGGTCCTGTTGATCCTGGATCATCAGATCCTGACATGTCCCCGTCCTTTGAGGACACATTTTCATCTTTCCCTCATCTCACTCGCCTCATTTCTGTTTCTTCCTCAGTCTCTGAAATTACAACGACACTGTTAGAATGAAGATTATTGTTCAATAAAAAATATGACATGTCTTATTTAACACTGTTCATACCAAAGTTTAATTTAGAACAACATGTGTGATCACTGGTCAGATCACTGGTCAATGGATCAACATGCAGTGGAAGTTCTGCTGTTCTTCTCATTTGGTTCTGGTCCATGAACAAATGGTTGAACCTCCTTCAGTCTCACACGTCCTCACTGTGTCTCTGTGAACTGTCCTCTCTCTAAATGTGCCTGTAGCGTGACATTAGTTTATTTTCTTGCATGTTTCTTTGACAGTTAAACGTTTTGAGCGCTGATTGAAAATGTTTGTGCAGATTAAATTTACAGCTCTCACTTTGTGTTGTTGTGATGATGATGGTGCTCCTGCTGACTTGAGATGATGTCATTAATAAACAGTATAAATGGCAGTAAAAGTACTTTATTAAAGCTTGCTTTACATTTTACATATAATAAATTATTTGGAAATTTATTTTTGCACAATTAACACTTATTTTGTCATCTGTTATGATTTTACAGTTTCATTTAAATTAACATTTTAATCAATGAATTACAATTTATCCAATAGTTGTCAGGCTACAATCACCTCAGTTATCAGGTACTTGGTTGCCATAAAAAAAAAACCAAATACAACAATTATATTCAGTCTCTCTTGTAAATGAGTCCTCGTGGCTCAATGTGACGAACCTGTTTAAATAAAGGTTGAATTAATATCTTCTATAGAAATCAAGAATTTATCCAGATGATCTAAGGTAAGCTGGAGCAGATCTGAACTACAGGCATGGAGGACAAGGTGGAGCATTCTCATGCAGAGAACATCAGAAACAGCTTTACAACAGGTGTTACTCTTGATTTTTTTTTTAATTGTGTGTAGCGTTATAAAACACTGACATGGCTATATTGATCATTGTATTGCATATACATTTTTTTTTCTAACAAATATGTGTTTGCAGTCTTGTTTCCTTCTAAAATTTAATGATAAATGTATCAGCCGCTTCTAAAAATGCTTTGATAAAATGCATAGTTTGTGAAATAATCAGTAATCAGTTCGTTAATGCTCAGTAATTACTGAAAGACGTCAGGTAGAGTAAGAAAAGTCGATTTTTGTGTTGTGTTGCGCCAGCAGCTGCTCAAACTGACTGACAGCGATGAACTGTTTGGAACCAGAGCCCTATAAAACTTAACATTCCTTCTTTTGATGCTGATGCCATTTTATTTTATATATATATATATATATATATAACCTAAGCTCAGCTTTCTCTGATGCCATAAATATAACTGTTCTTATAGCAAAGTACCACATTCACTGTAGTAAGTGGAGGGATAACAAGCCCTCCTTCCCATGTTTTACGAACAAATTTAAGTCATATTATTTTTCATTAAGTAGTTAAAAAAAATAGAAAACTGCTAGAATAATTTCACAACAGATATCTAAAAACTTATTGTTTTAAGTTCCACATATAGTCTTGCTCCTTTGTGCTTTATGTATAAATATTTTTTTATCTTTCATTATTTTGTCAAAAGCCCTATCATGTAAAATGTAGTTATGACACCCTTCACAAGAGTTTGTATTTGTATCTTATTTTGTTCTGTTGCTAATAAAGTTCTAAATAAAATAAAGTAAAGTTAGAAAATTATCGTGCTTCCTGACATGTTTAAACTGTTTAAAATAAATGTTAAGCTGCAGAATTCTTCAAATGAGAAACAAATGAGGATATAACTCACTGAAAAACATGAAGGATAATCATGTTAAACTCCACAAATGCTTCACACTTTACTTCTGTTCAGTGCCCTGAAACGTCTTGTGTTGGAACTTGGTGCTAAACTGAACTGAACTCAGAAGCATCTTGGTGCTGCTGCAGCTCCTTCCTTGTAGGGGGCAGTCTGCAGCAGGTGACCCTGGCTGAAGGCGCTCACCTGAGGCGCTCGTGCGCCTTCAGGACGTTCACAGGAGGCACGAGGACTTTGTCCGCGGTAAACAAGGAGTCAAAGCGGCCAGTCCTGCCGCGAGCTGCAATGCAGACATTAACGAACTCTGCACAAAAACAGAATTCAGCTCATCACGACGGGGTTAACCCTGTCATCTGTTTGAACTCATGAAACTCCTCATCCTTGATGGACTCTAGGTCTAGATCAGCGAGCAAGTCAGGAGGACTTCACAGGTTCTCTGAGGACAGGAATCAGTCTGAACATTTTTTAAGTATATTTGTTTTAACAAAGTTCGTGCTCAATAATCCAGGTATCAAATCCAATAATTCTCAGTCGGGTCATCTGGACAGTTTCTTTTTTTAATTTATTTTTTAATTATTTTAATAAAGAGACGTTTCACCCTCTATCTGGAGGGCTTCATCAGCTTGAGGAGTTCCAGTAAACTGTTTCCCCACCAAGCAGTAAATTCCTTAAGTGGACCAACCAGTTTGCTGGTTTCTGGGAGTTGTCCTGTCCCCTGTCGACTCCCCCAGGTCTCTTGGTGTGAGTTAACTACGGCCTTCCACCATAGTCTTCATGTCCCTGGAGGTCTCCCCCCGGGTTGCCCGAGGTTTCCATGCCACCTCGTGAGGTTTCCACGTCTCCAGGGGGTTCCACAACAGCTGCAGTCTCTCTGGCCTCCAAGTCAGATGCTACTTTACCAGCAAACTCCTCACTACTTGCTGCCCTCATCCCTGGTTCACCGTGGTCTCCCGGACGCCCAGCCAAAATGGTGCCTCGTGCTGGATGGTCGGTCGTTTGTGTCTTTCACGGCGTCTATCTTCATTGGTTCTCCACCTGAACTGTTGGGATGGTCTTCTGACCGTCTTCTTGAACTCTTTAGTGTTTACATTTTGTGCATGTGGCTCCATCCTGTTGATTTTTGTGTTTTTCCTTGTGTTCCCCTTGTGCCCTCCATCCTCACGGTCCCCCCCTTCTCCCACCTGAGTTTTGGGGTGTGGGTCTTGGGATGTCAGGGGGTGTCCTGGGTGGGGGGAGTACTGTGAGGATGGTGCCCCCTTGTCACTTCCTAATCATCAGTCACCCCGTTTCCCACATCTGTGATGCATCGCAGGTGTTTGCATCATATCTCGTCAGCTTCCCTGTATTTAAATCTGTGTCTCAGTGTTTCTAGTTGTCTGGACATTGTCTGGTGATGTCTCCTTTGCTCCTCATGTTTTCTCTACGTGTTTACTGGATAAGTAAGTTTTGCTGCCCCAACAGCTCTTTTATTTATTTAATTAAAGTATTTATGTTTTACCTTCTGGATCTCAGAGTCCTACCTGCATTTGGGTTCAAACACCGCACCAGCTCGTAACACATTTCTGTAGATGAAGACTCGCAGTCGGAGGCCTCCCAGGGTCTCCAGCTCCTGACCGTGGTTCAGAGACTTGAAGGAC